TCATGGACAAGGTCCTCCACGAACAGATTGGTCGATTTGTCGTTGTGTATTTGGATGACATTCTGATTTTCAGCAAATCGATCGAGGAACACAAGAAGCACCTTCAGGAAGTGTTCACCATCTTCAAGAAAACGCAGCTCCATCTCAACTTGAAGAAATCTGAGTTAGGGAGGGACATCGTCATCTATCTTGGGCACCGGTTGTCTGTTGCAGGCCTTGAGCCTGAGCCTGAGGCGACCAAGGTTGAGGTCATACGCAAGTGGCCTCAACCCGCGAACGTCCGCAAATCGCGATTTTTTCTTGGTCTTGCATCATACTATCGAAAGTTCGTGCCCCGATTGTTGCTCGCCCGTTGTCCAAACTAACAAGCAAAAACGTATCTTACACGTGGGATGCAACATGTGAGAGACTGCTTTTCAAGCCTTGAAAGAGGCCTTGGTAAGTTATCCTGTGCTCCACATTGCAGATTCCAAACTCACATTCGTAGTCACTACGGATGCAAGCGAGTATGGGATTGGCGCAGTGCTGCAACAAGATGACGGTGATGGTTTGCGGCCGCTCGAATACTACGCCAAACGCCCAGGGAAAAGGTCACCACTTCCACTTACATGGGCGAGCTATGTGCTCTGCGTGAAGCATTGAAGCATTGGAAGCACTATCTTTTGGGACGCCGTTTCAAGGTCTTCTCAGGTCATGAGACCTTGAAATGGATCAAGGAGCAAACCACCCTGTCCCACACATTGAATTGCTGGTTCCCTGAGATTGACATCTTTGACTTTTAATTAAAACACAAAAGGGGCTGTTATAATCGAGTTGCTGATGCATTGTCTCGCCACCCTGAGTATATGACTTGCCTTGTGAACTCCTATGACCTTCGAAAGAAACTGAAGGAGGAACTTGTGGAGCAAATTGCCAAGGATCTGGACCTTTTCATGAATGCGAAGGTCTTGTTTTCCGACGTTTACGAAAAGAATGACCGCTTGTGTGTACCCAACCAGGAGCCTCTCCACACACACTTCTTGGACTTGGCTCACGGTCGAAGTGGACACTTCGGCATGGCAAAAGCTTATGGAAACCTACTACAACAGTTTGATTGGCTTGGTATGAAAGGATCTGCTGAGAAGTTTGTGGCTGAGTGTCAAGTCTATCAATGAATCAAACCATCAAGACAAAAGCCCATGGGGCTGCTTAAACCTCTTCCCATTCCCAATGGTCCCGGAGGGTTCGTCTCTATCGACTTTCCGGACATGGGAAAAACGAGTAAGAATGAATATTTACAATTGATGGTGATTGTTGATCGATTTTTGAAATTCCTGAATCTAATTCCATTACCACCTCATGCCCCTACTGAACTTGTGATCCGTGAGTTCCACCAGAAGTACATTCTGCAGTTCGGGACACTGAAAACCCTTGTGAGTGATAGGAACCCGTGCTTCATAAGTACTGAATGGAAGGACTTCATGTCCCCACTCCCTGGCCTCAAACTGAGCATGACATCTGGTCGACATCCGGAAGCCAACGGTTTGGCTGAGGAGATTAATCAAACTGTGTTTCAACTTCTCTGCGCGTTTATTATTCCGGATCAGGAAACGTGGGATTAAGAGTTGTTTCGGTAAAGGGGTTGTACAACAACTCCATCCATTCTTCCACCGGCACGCCGCCAAACAGGCTGCATTACGGTTGGAAGATTAGTAATCCACTCTCCTACTTATTCCCTGAACAGCCAGCTGGACTAACACCTGGCAGACCTGACTTCAGCGCCAAGTATGGTCGCTTGCTCAAGGTTGCCATTGCAGCGATGACCAAGCGACAACATGCTATGATCCATCATGTGAATAAGAAGCGCGCACCTTCGACTATCAAAGTGGGAAGTTATGTTTGGGTCAAGATGTCTGAGTTTTCGGAAGAAGAGGGAGTGTCACACAAACTTCTCCCTCTCTATTACGGTCCGTGGGAACTCTTGTTGGATGGGATTGGTGACGATAAGTTTGGTCCGTCGTACGTAATTGTTGTGCCTCCTCATCTGCGCACGTACCCAGTCTTTGATGCATCGAAGTTGTTTATACATCGTGATGCTAAATCCTTTGACTATCGTGAAGGCATGATCCCTCGTGCAATCAAACTTCTCCCTCTCTATTACGGTCCGTGGGAAATCTTGTTGGATGTGATTGGTGACGATAAGTTCGGTCCATTGTACGTAATTGTCGTGCCTCCTCATCTGCGCATGTACCCAGTCTTTCATGCATCGAAGTTGTTTATATATCGTGATGCTAAATCCTTTGACTATTGTGAAGACATGATCCCTCGTGCAATCAATGGCGGTCACAAGATTGATAGAATTAAAAGACACGTAGGGGAAGGACGCAACAGACAGTACCAGATTCATTTAATGTATCGCCCGTTGGACGATCTCTATTTGATCTCAAAGAAAGAACTGCTGTGCAGCGCACCTCGCGTTGTTAAAGCATACGAGCGATAGATAGCCTCTAATGCTGTACCAAAAATTTCTGCAAAACTCACTGCTACTGAGTACTCATGAACTCTCTTTGCTATGTTTGCTTATGATGCGTTTGTCAGGGACTCAGAATGAGTTACTCGCTCTAAGGGACCTCGGTCTTGAGAGGGGGGTAGTGTAATGACCTGCCAAACATGGACTGAGACACAGCTGATTTCTGAGTTTTGCTCATGGAATGTATGCCTTGCCGAGTTTCCCGCTTGTTCCTGAGTTTTCTAAGTCTGTGTGGGTACGTGCTTGCTGGTCTGCATGCCTGTCTGAGTGCCTGTCGGCTTGAGTGTGTGTGTGACCCGCAAAGGCACTTGATTGTTCGGAGTACCTGTGGCCGTGACATTGAGGGTTGCAGCGGGGTGAACACTCAAGTGGCGGGGAAAGAGGCCTGCGACACTTGGAGCAGCGGAAAACACTCAAGTAGCAGGTAGGCCGGTACCACACCAAGTAGAGGTAGATGTGCCGGGTACTCGAGGACGACCAGAAGAAGACAAAAGTTGGTATTTTAGAGGCCCAGTAGCTGTAGGCGAGGTCTAGGCGGGTACCAGTCCAACCAGTCTGAGTCTAGGACCTGTACGGGCAACATCAGAGTCTGCAATGATGTTTCCCGCCGAAAGGGAGGAGGTACCGGTTGCTTGGAGGCTGCACGGCCTAGGAAGTCGCTCCCCAAGACGCAAGTAGGCCGCTATGTCTCCAGGAGGAGCAAGGTGCTCCTCATTGTGGGTGTGCAAGTTTGGTGACACAATGGTTGGAGCACTGGCTGGAGCAGCGCTAACATCAGACCAGCGCTGCTGGGGAGGAGCAAATACACGAGGAAGAAAACCAGGACTAGGAGGGAGGAGCGCCAGAGGTACTTACCTGGCTATGGTGGATGTCGGTGTGCAAGTTTGGCGACACACTGGTTGGAGCACTGGCTGGAGCAGCGCTAACATCAGACCAGCGCTGCTGGGGAGGAGCAAATACAGGTACCTGGCTATTGTGAATGCCATCTTCATCACCTTGGTGGGCTCTGCATCCGGAAGGCCCCCGTTGGGGTAGAGCTACACCAAGAAGCTTCGAGGCAGAGTCAGGCATGCCGGCCTGAGCTAGAGTAGCCATAGCTGCTTTGTGTTGTCCTTTGCACATCAGGGCAGTGCCCTGGTAGTCCGCCATAGCCTCGGCCGTGGAAGGAGGAGGAAGAAGGGTGGCCATGGCTATCGTGGACCTCATGTGATGCCTGCAGTGAAGAGGGATTTGGAAATTGATTCTGGTTCAGCCATTCAACATTATTATTATTATTTCTTGTTTGAATAAGAGGGGAGGAGATAAGGAGGAGACGAGTGGTTGGCGAAGAAGGGAATTTCATTTGTCTTTGGTGGTGTACATCTTCTTCTTGTTCTTTTTCTTTCCCTCCCTCTCCTCTCAAGTTCAGTCATTTCTTTTTGCAATTGGACTGCATTGCACTTTCTGATGAATGTGTACTTCGAAATTGACCAGGATCATAACATTGCCATAATTCACTCGTGAACCGAGTCTCTGTCACTGACAATGTCTGTGGGAAACCCAAATCCCAGTTCTAATTATCAGCAAAGAGCGCACGATCTCCTTCATGGTGGCAAACTTCTTAATAGTTATCAAACTCACGAACTTACTGAAGTGGTTGACGATGACGTAGACAGCATCTCTTTCCATTTGGTTGCAAAGTTTGTGTATGTAATCTGTCTCCTCAGAAATCTCTCTGGGAAATTTGTTTTGTTGTGCGTCTCCGCATCTTTGTCTTCGGCAAGGCCTTAGAACTCATCCTTGTCAGAGAGTTTTCGATTTACGTTGTTGGGTAGATTGCCCTTACACTGAGCTGGTTCCGAAGGTGAAATTAAAAACTGTGGCTGCTATCCAACAAACCAACTGAAAAAGTTATAGCCCCCTTGGCAACCCACTGAAACCATGAGTACCTTCGAAGTTTGAGCCCCTTTTTTTCCTATGCGTATTCCCCTTGTGTGGCAAAGCAAAATTGAAGCAGCACAGGCATGTTTTTTTCTTTCTTTTTTGCCTGGTCACCCCTGGTGCCTCCAACCATTGACGTCCGATATCATTATTCATCCGAAGGTGGAGCTTGTATATGAATCGTTGGAAACCTTTGCTTCTGAAAGGTACTGGTGGTTTACGAATGCACTCACACTAGGACTTTTCTGGATGTATCTGACCACAATTGCAGCCAGCGATGCATCTGACTGTGATTATGATCACACCTAAGTTGAAAAGGTCCTTGCGTGGAAGCAAGTGGTGATTGAACCGGTTATGTAAGGGATGCCAACGGTTCAGCGGCTTATATGTAGGAGCCTACCTCCTGTGGTAGGGCCTGGAGCCTTCATTCTCCACCTTTTGTGAGGAATGAAGGTGTGTGTGTGCCTTCTCCTTGTGTGACTGTGGGGTGACGTAGGCACTGATGTACTCTGTGATGGTCTTTTTTTCTCTGTCTGTGCCACTACCTATTCTTTGTCGTCGATGTGTGCAGCTGAAGAGAACTGGGGAAGTTGGCCCTTGTCGAGATCTGTTGAAGGAGAAGCTGGATCTGGGTGGGCTATGTGGGAGTGATTTTGCGGGTATTAAGTCTCTTTCCCTCTGTTCTTCATAACCTCCCAGTCAAACGAGCTGTTGCCGTGAAGAAGATATCAGCTGGTGGTTTCTGGAAGCCATTTGACAAATGCTTTATAGCCCCTACTTTACGTAAGTTTTTCTTTTTTGGGTGGTTTTTCATCTTTTCTTTGTAGTCCCATTCCCTCTGAAAAAAAAAAAAAAAAACTTGCAGCCACTTTTGGGGACTATTGACTTGTGACTGTACTACATAGTGCATTCTCAATTCAACCACCCATGTTATACATGCATGGCAAGGGTGGGGGGTCGATGGTGTGATTGCAGTTATGTTGGACCCGATAATGATTGCCTAACCGAGCTGACCCTGCCTTTTCCTTGGGAGAAAGAACACGGCGGTGTTTCCGTCATAACATTCCCCTCTGCAGTGCGAGTGTAATCTCGTTCTCCCTCACAATGGAAAATAGTGTCAAGGGCATAAGTAGCCTGTTATGACTGGGAAGTACACAACTAACCATGTCATCGTATAGGGGTGCAGCCATGCAGGCATTCTGTGCGTCATCTGCAGATTCTGCACCGTGATGTACTCTGAAAGGAGTGGTTTTGCACTTCTCAAACATGCATGGTAGGCTGTTTATGTCCTTTACCACATAAAACGAGCAGTCAACAGAGAGAGAGAGATGTTCACATTATGTGGAGAGTGGTGGTCGTATCATCTTTTCCTCACCATTTTGTGTTTCAAATTCAAATTCAAATTCAAATTCAAATTCAAATTCGATGTTATTCTTCCTGAAGCCTTGAACTACACTTCGGGTACATGCATAGAGTTGCAGGGGTGAAAACGCAGCAGGATCAGCAATCATTGAAGAATAAACTATATGGCAGCAGGGAAGATTCTTTGTGATCCAGCAAATTGAAATGGGTTTTGGAATTTCGTCCACATGCAATGTGTTGTAATGTGCTTTGATTGTCAGTGTGTTGTTGTCCTTTTGCTCGTGTTTATTCCCATCGATCTCGAGTACGCGATTCCGTGTTCTGTTTGTGGGTATAGGAGTTGGCAGGAAAAGAAGCTAGCATGAAAACTGCATGCCTTTCCTAGATGTGGAGAGGGCAACTGGATAGCAACTGGGGACAGTCCTGACTCCTGACCAGTCCCTATACCAGCCCCAATACCGGGGTTAGTACGAGGGTTATGCTGCTAGAACCTGGTTCCTACTCATCTTGGATTTGATATCATGGGACTGGAACAGGACAGCATGCTTTGTTCAAAGGAAGGACTGGTGGCCATGACAGAGACCATGCTGTCAAAATCACGTAGGTTTAGCGGCTGTAAAACTACTTCTAGAGAAGGAACGAAAAAGATCACGCCATTTGGGTATACGGTATACCTTTTCCATTGATGGTGTCAATCGATGAGGAGCATAGTATAGGTCACAAAGATTGGGGTGCATGTCATGTAGTCTGACGTTTGAGAGGCAATTTGGGGTCTGATGAAGACCTATGGACATCCTCACTGTTGGTAAAGGTTAGGTGCCTTTTTCTGCGCGCATTCAACATGGGAACGTTATATCATTCCCATGTTGATGAAGACCTATGGACATCCTCGCTGCCGAGTGACGGCAACTAACCTCGCGTTGACATGGGTCACAAATATTTCTGCCACCCTCGCCTGACGATAAACTTTGACGTAACAGCCTAAGATGGAAAGCACGCTGCCACATGAACCACCGGCTGCGCAGCATTGTGAAAGGTCATCCATCGTGGGGTAAGCAATGGCAAGTCAGATTTTACACCAGCGGGGCACGCTTTGGATCTGATCTGGTCATCACCTGTTTGCAGACAGGTTAGGTCGGTGCCACAAATACGAGCCTAAGAAACTCTGTTCTCTTTCGCAGTCTCTGATAACAGAAGACAGGATAGATCGGTGCCGGACTGTTCAAACGAACGAAGATGGGGGTGAAGCGCTGCTGGGAGCGCTGCGCCCCGCTAGTGTAAGCTGGCTGGACCGGCGCCGAAAGCACGATGTGAGAGTGGGCGGAGTGTCGTACACAATGGTGCTGGCGGTGGGCAGTGCGTTTAGGGTTGTGTGGTTACGTGGTGTTGCGGTTGCGAAGGGGGGGGCGCAGAGGTCGTTATGGTGTATGGTGAAGATGACGAGATTGCCCTGGCTACTCATCGTGGCGGCTTCACGTGGTGATCGATCGGCGAGCGCGCTGGGGGCATCTGCTGGAAGCGATGGGTTCTACATGCCGTTCTGTTCTATGCGATACTACTGCGGGGGGCTTGTCATCACAATAAGGGAGGTAAACAACATGAGTGGGGATCACAAAGATGAGGAAGCGTCTTAGGATCAGCATAGATTAGCTGATTTCGTGCATGGATGGGGTGGGGCGGAGACTGTGATAAGAGCGGGAGGGCTGGATTGTGGTAGGGAATAGCATGTTTCTGTTTGGTTCGCCCTCTTTCTTATCCTAACCTCAATGTGTTATGGTTATCTTTCCTCGAATGCTTTTTCTGTCTGCGTCTGCTTTATCTCTGCCTCCTTCTTGCTAGATCGGAACTCCCGGGAGGGGTCGTTGGCGGGTTCAACGGCGACTATCATGACGAGCTTTGTGCTCGGCCTGGTGGCCTTCTGCTTCCGATGGGAGGGGATAGGCTCTCCCTTGAGAAGGTGTGGGGTGTAAGTTTCGTGGTAATGGGGGAGGGGTAATGGAGATGGGTGGAGGTCAGTTGTGGAAGAAGGAAGAGCAGTAGAGCGATGAGCTTCCCGTAGAGTAGTCTGTGATTCTTGGATGTCTATACCTTAGTGCCCAATTCTATTTCCAACATGATGATTTTCTTGATCACGATGGATTTTGAACCCTTCTAATTTTCCTTCCCTTGATTGATTTTACATCTTCCCTGTCCCAACCTGAGGTTTGAATTTCTTGTTTTTTTCCTGATACTGATATTCTCAAATCAGAGTTCAACTCTGATATCAAAATTGTGATTGTAAAGTGTGATTTCAGTCTACTTGTGATTCTAATTTTGATTTCCAGCTCTGAGGTTCATAAAAAGTCTTAATCTCTAGTATCATAACTATCTTTCTATCTTGAAAATCGAAATTTCATCCTAATTGTCTAATTTCGATTTCCAGACTCTTAAAAAGTCTTACTAATCTCTTTGAATCTCAATTTGTTTTTCAATACTAAGTCTAAGATAGTTTTGCTGAGTTCGGTTGTTGACTAATTGTTCACTTGTTGTGATAAAAAAGTAAGAGGTGGTGGTGTGATCTTTGAGAGGGAGGGGCGGTGTTGACGGTTTGTCCCTTTCTGGGCCACACTGATTTCTGGGTCGGATCAGCAATGGTGGTTGGGGGGAGAGGACAAGGGGTGCTGATGCCAGCATGGTGAGATGTTGAAGGGTTGTTTCACTTGGAGGGGGTGGGGCAGGAGGGAAGGGGGATCTTTCGTTCTGCAGGGCATACTTTAGGGGGTACTGTATGCAGCTGAGGGAGCAGGAGTGGTATTTAGGGGGCTGTTCTGGACTGGGGCTGGGAGGCAAGGGGGCGCTTCCCCGTGGAGGCAGTGATCGGACAGGGGGTCGTTTTTGGGGGGGAGAGGAGTAATCTGTTTTGTTCTTGTGAGCCTTGTACATGCAATTGAGATTTGAATAGGCGCTGGAGTTTCCATGGGGAGAGAGGGTGGTTTTTCCCCTCCCCCCCCTCTTCTTGTGGGAATAATAGACGCTGGAACGTGTATATGTTTTTCTCAATCTTCTGATTTCCTGATTTCTTAATATGTGTTATTGAATGGGATTGAATTTTCTGACTAAAATATTCTTTATTCTTTATAAGCCGGCGCTGGAGGCAGGGGGCTGTGGCTGCGATGGTGGGGAATAATGCGCTCTGCGCCCATGGGGCTAGCCTGCAGAGTGGAAATAGGGTACAGCAGCGGTGAAGATGGTGGCTTCATCGCAGTAAGACTTGTCGTAATAGGGTTGTGAGGGATTTATTGTGGGACATCTGCAACCAGTGCCTGAAGGAGTTGAATGATCGGAACTACAGTTATGGTGCTGATTGGTGGCTTGTCTGGTATTTGCTGTAGTCTTGGGTTCCCATGGGTTTGCGAATGGATGAGGCCAGAACGACGGTGGTCGGTGCTGGGGGTTGGTCGCGCTGCCCTGTAACTCGAGTTGTACGAGGGCAAGAGACCTGGTAGAGAGATCTGGGGAGTTGTCGAGGGTGGAAGGCACTCTAGTGTCCTTTGGTAAGCTGGTACTTAGTCGACGCTGGTCGGAGCCGGGGCGGGTCGTTTTGCCCTGTAGCCTAGCAGGTGGGAGTCTTCTGGGGTGGGCGTGCCACTCTGTAACCTAGCAGTTGGGGGCGTGAGGCCTAGTAGAGACTAAGTATCGGGATACAGGGATGAGGCAGGTAGGGGTGGGCTACTGAAAGACTCTAAGGCAGGTATTTCTTGATCTGAATGGTCTTCCAAAAACAAAAGGGCCCTTCGCATTTAGTACCGTATAGATGTCTGTTTTCTTCTATTAGCCCCTTCGAGGCAGTTTTCATTAGTACTTGGTGCAAGTTGTTGTCTGTTTTCTTCTATTAGCCCCTTCGAGGCAGTTTTCATTAGTACTTGGTGCAAGTTGTTCTCAGACTTTTCTAAAAAAAAAACTATCATCAAAGGGCGTCCCTGCTTAGTTAACCCCCTGTTTCCGGGGCAACAATGCGGGCAGGGGGAGGTCTTCTTAAATTGTTTTCTCAAATTTTCTCAAAAAAAGACCCTTGAGAATGCCTTAGGATGCTGGGCACTCCTTGCAACTCATTTTAGGCATCTTTGATGCCGTTATATTCATGGACCTGCGGTTTTTCGATGCCAGAACGACGCTGGCCGGTGCTGGGGGGTTGCCCTGTAACCTGTTGATAGCAGGAGCGTGAGGCCTGGTAGAGAGATCTGGGGATGCCTTGGGCCGGGCATTCCAAGGAAAAAACAAGGGTTGCTGTCGGGACGACGCTGGCCGGAGCTGGGGTGAGTCGTGTTGCCCTGTAACCTAGCAGGGTGGGGGCATGAGGCCTGGGAGAGCTCGGCAGGGAATTAGACAGTGTTAGAGAATTTTAGAGTGTTTTGTCGTAGAGTCCAGGGGTTCTGAGCATTTGAAGGACTTTTTTGGTCATTGCTGCTTGAGTAGCCTAACAATAGGTCAACAGTTATCTACGTTTTTCCTAAAATCTTCCTGAACTTTTTTCATAGTTTTCGGATTGTTCTTAGCCGAAGCCAGGTAATGGCCCTGGTACTTCAAATCATTTGTATATTCTTCATGGGACGCTGGGCCCGGTTCCCAGCACGTGTTGCTCCCCACAAATAGATTGGAGCATTTGTCCCAAAAAAAAAAAGGAAAAAAAAAGAAGGGTAGATCGGTGCCACGAATACAAACGTAAGAAACGTTATTCTCTTTCCCACTCTCTGATAACAGAAGGACGTTCAGTTAGCTAATCATCAGCATTCCGTGTGTTGTGACGATTCATCGCTGTGTACACACTTTCAGTCTCTGGTGTAGTCGTCCACGGCACCCTTTTTCTGGCATCCTGTTCCAATGGAGCAGGGCTGTTCTTTTTGCAGGGGCTGTTTCTTTTGCAGTGCCTGTATAACCATGATCGTCATACCGCTGTGTTCCTGCCATGTGCGAGCCGTGTCGCCTGTGATATTTGTCTGCAGACTCTGCGCCATGCCGTTCAAAACCGTATCCTGTCATTGGGGGCTGTAAGAGGTATAGCTGGCGCATTAGACCAGAGCACTGAGAGCAGCAAGGTCCAATTCTCTGCGTAAGTGTTGCATGTGACCCGGGGACCCACGAGGGCTCTGGGCAAAGCGTCATAATGAAAGTTACTTGTGAAGTCTCGAGTATCGAATGGTATGGAAACTGAAAAATCTGAGCTCAGCACGTCGACGAGCGCATCAGAGCGACGGTAGGGATTATGGGATGGAGGTAAGGGAAGGGAGTAGGCTTAGAATCTTAGATACATGGTTAGGGAATTGCGCCCTACTCGACTAGTGCAAGGCCGCCTTGGGAGATCAGCCTCAAGTGTTGGTTCGCGTGGTCCAGTTAGAGCATTTCGAAAAATCCTCTGTGCCCGTATGCTGTGGCACATGAGAAATGCCCTCGGCTGATCCACCTCTGGCGCGGTATGTAAAGCTGCCACACATAGAACAGCAGCTCAATGGGGATGCACGTCCTAACCTTGGTGATAGCTCCTTAGGAGAGGTAAGGTGTGCCTCATGATTCCCTATCCTGTCATAGGGGGCTGTGAGAGGTATAGCTGACGTACTTGGCCGCAGTGGCAAGGCACAATCGTCTGCGCAATGCCGACTCCTGCATGAATTGCAATTGAGAGGGCTTCTGAATCGTGCATGTGGGGGAGGGCGGATGTATCGTAGTAGTACTAAGCAGCTATGGCTGCAACCTTATCTTGCCTCACTGAATGATGAGCAGCAATGTTTCCTCTTGCTTGAGCTTAAAGAACTCCGAATGTGTTCTGAGTGAAATCGATGCCGAGCTCACGGCTTTTGACGACCTAGTCCTCCCCAAGAGCGTACCATGTCCACTGAACAGAAAAATCACATATGTACAACCACTGCTGATGCAGAACCATCTCGAAAGGCAGTTTACCAATCAGGACGAAGAACATGAAGCGCCATATCCTGCTGTCCTCGTCAAAATCTACGGGAATGTTATGCATACATTGTGTACTCGTGATCACATCCCCGTTCTCCAGCTTGTACCTTCACTGGTGTAAGGAGGTCCTGCACATCCATGCACAGGTGCACCCTGCAAATCTCCTTCTGGGAGAGAGAAGTTGGGGTGGAGCCTTTGTCCACTGTTGTCCTCACCACTGACCTATTGACAATGGTGTTCAAAAGGGTGACCTCACCATACTTTTTGAGCCGCTCCCCTGCCTTCACAAAATTTTCTACTGATTTCGTCCTACATCCATATCACACTCTCCAATCATGTGCGCGACGCACGTCCTTTGAGCATCTGGACAGCACAGGCGAATACGTTGTGCCGACCACGACTCCTCTCTTCTCCATTATCGTCACTGCAGCAGCGATCATAACAATCTCCTCATTTTCCTATGCGTGCTGCAGTCATTGTGCTGCTCCCATTTGGTGAAGGTTGTTTGTACCACCTGAGATTGTGGAGTCAGAGAAAGTGGTGCCCTGCTGTGTGCAGTGATGTTCTCGCCAACCTGTGTGCATGGGAGTGCGCACCATGCACTGGTTCTGCTCGCTTGCTGTAGTTTCTTCCCTGCAGAAGTGCTCTTCCTGTTTGAGTCAGTCGTACCATCATGCACTCACCTTCCTTAATACATCCCATCTACATGTGGCGCCAGTGTTCCATCCGCCAGTGGGTCTCCCGATTCTGTCTTAGGGGTCCTAAATCACTGGCTAGCCATGCCAGGAGGGCCTTCATGAACACCAACATTTCCAGCTCCTCCCTGAGACCGAGCCCCTGCAGCTGAAGGATCTCGTCAAACCCTCTGATCAGATCGCTCACCCTCCGGAGACAAGTTTTGGCGTGGTAACCCTGGGGAGCACGTTGTCTTGTCTGGTCACGGTCATATAGTGTTCATCCAATTCTCGAGAATATGCTGCCCGACTGACCACCTGTGTGTATTACATAAAGTCTCGCTTGCCTGCTGCAGTTATTCAGAATCCGCCCATTCCTTGCAGCGATTGCTACCGTCTTCACCCGGTCATTATCCCTGTATTCGGGGAAACTTTCAGTCCAGACGCGATGATAATGACAGTGCGTTCTATTCGGGTGAAGATGGGAGGTCACAAACTAGAGTTTTTTTGTTTCTCTGTAATCTATTATGTAGTGACTCAATCGGCCAGACATTGCACAGGACTGTTGCGGCCTGCAGCTTTTTAGCCTTCTGTCGAGTGAAGCCTTGAAAAGCCTTCAGCGAGGTGCTATCAGCCTTCAGTGCAGCCATGTCATCGTGCTGCGCTGACTGCAGGACCGTTGCAGCCTGCAGCTTAGCCTCTTGGAGCACCTTGTTGAAAACCGACTTTGAATCCGGAAATCTCTTCCTTCCTCCTTTCTTGCCTCTTCTATGGATATATAATCTGCTTAACGTGTTTGTTGATTTCCTCCCTCTTGGCCTCTTAACTTCTCCATGGCCAGCGTCTGTTCCCCATCCATCGTGCTAGGAAGTTTAGCTTCAAGTAAGCTGTGGCAGGAAGAAGTGCCCAATGAATAGCGGTCATGGAATAGAAAAGTCAGCAGAAGTTGCTACAATAGAAAAGTCAGCAGAAGTTGCCACAATAGAATAGTCAGCAGAAGTTGCTACAGTCTTCCCCCGAATACAACGTACTGTTACGGACTCCGCCAGGGCTCGATCCCTGGTCTATCTTTTTGCTGTTTCGGCTGCATCCCGTTTTCGGCCTGGCACCCTTTTTCCAAACCTCTCCTTTGGTACCGTAGGATTTTGG